ACAAATTTGCTTATCTATTTGATTTATTATTTGTTCATGTCTGGTAGCTAGGCCTTATAATATCATTAATCAATCTACAATTTGCAAACACTAGAAAATAAAAATGTCGCATGGTAGGTGTCGAATCTCAACATATCTAACTCTTAAAACAAATAATATGATAAGCCTCACGGGTTATGTGTGTATGATTAGATTGGTTTTAGCAATAAATACAAAGTATATGTGTTTTAATTCGAGAGGCAGAATGCTTCAGTGTCTATCTAAATGCCACATTAATAAATTGCACATAAAACAGAAAGATGAATATAAAAAACTCATGGAGCTAATAATGTTGCATCCACCCAACAAAAAAAAAGAAAAAGAAAAGAAATTTGATTCCATCTACTGCACCAAAGAAATGGTGCCTCATTGTAAATTGCATATTATAGAAGGCAATATTGCTTAAATAAAATAAGCTTTATCTACCATGAAAAAGACCTTGTTCCATCTACTGTGCCAAAGAAATGTTGCACACACACACACACAATTATGATGTCGTGGGAATTCAAACTCGAGACCTCCGATTTGCAAATCAAGACCTTTTTCTATTTGATTAAGCCTCTTGTCATTGTCATGTGCTTTATCTTCTCAAAGACAATAGTGCCCAATTAAAACCATATACTAATATTTGTATAATATGCCAATAACAATAATGATGGAACAAAATAAAAAATTTATGTTGGAATAAATATAGGTGCAAAAGCACAAGGCACTGATGAAATAAACAAATAAGCAATAGAACGGCGCATGCAATATCTTTGTTTTTCATCTCCAAACCCTTATGAATTCTACCTTTGACCAACGCTACACTCAATAGTTTGTTTATTAATATGTATTTTTTTTTTTTTTATACAAACGATTGGAGAAAAAGAGTTCACACAAATATTCATTTGGCACGTGGGAGTTTCAAACCTCTGTCCACATGGATGGACATGAAAGAGTTCAATCAACTGTGCTATACCTGATTTTTCTTTTCTTCTTCAAATTTGAGTTTACTTAATCTCACTTAATCTCATTTACTGCTAGCAGATAAAATATTGGCATGTTTATTATTTGATGATTATTGCGAAAGTAAAACAATTGGAATCTCTGTTACTCAAATTAACAACGGATCAAATTAGATAACTTCTTAGGACCTCAACCCTTGTGCTGTTCAGGCCCTTCATACCTGCTCTGCAAGGCATTCCCTCATCATGAGCGGCTGTTTGAACTTTGACATCCGTGAATTGTGCCCAAGCTCTGTACCGTCCCTCCCAAGCTCACTGCACGGCTAACACCTTTCTCATTCGACTCGTTCAGCTGAGGAATGATGATTGGGATAACAGTCTAAAGTGTGTTGGAAGGGTTCGGATCATAAAACTTCAACCCAGAGAGGGCTCTACAAAGGTGTGGATCCCTAATTCAAGCCCCCTAAATAATTCCCCAGGAGAAAACTAGTCATTTAATTCTCATCTTCACACAAGACCAAAATTGAAGATGAATATTTAGCAAAGAGCATGCTAATTTATGATTTTACATGCCAAACCTAAAAGTTGTCATCCACAAGCTCCCTTGAAATAGTTGCACAGACAAGTTAAGCTTGCATTTCCTTCTATACAAGTTATACTCCAGGCATTGGGAACTGAGTGGTAAGAGCTTCAACTCTTCTCTGCAGATCCAACACTCGATCCTTTAGGGAGAATTCAGGTGAAGCTACAAACTTCATAAAATCTTGGAGCTTTGATCCTGAGACTGCGCGTTTAGCATCAATTGTTATCTGCACACCCTCATGAATGTAGTCTGCAACAGCTATGAAATCTTTCTCAGTGAATCCTCTTGTTGTCATGGCAGGTGATCCAATGCGAATGCCACCGGGCACTACAGCACTTTTATCGCCTATTTCATCAAACATCACAAGTGTAAGCCAAATAGCTGAAAGACAAATAAAAACCACTACTACACAAACAAAATACGATAGGACCTTCAAAACTAGGCAAGTACCCCTTAGGCCCAAATAAGCCTCAAACCATAAAGGTCTGAAACGCTTAGGGTCCATCTGGTAAAATTATGTAAATGGCTTGATTATAATATTAGAACCAAAAGAAAACACATGCCTAGATTTGAATCAAAAGAAAACACATGCATTTCATATGATCACTTGATTATTTCAAATCCACTGCAAACAAATTGTATCTAGTTAGTTCAAATACATATTCCATGTAAAGCTTTCATTTACTAATTTAGCTTTATTCTCAAATCCAACATTTTACAAGTCATTTCAGCCTAATAGATCCTTACACTCACCGGGTACTGAATTCTTGTTAAGGGTAATAGAAGCCTTGTCAAGAATTTTCTCCACTCGAGCTCCATCAATACCCTGTTAATAAAGAAAATGTCGAATAACATTGGAAAATTAGATATGGTTATGAACTAATGCAAAGGATACAATCATAAATTTAATGTGGAACCTGTAAATTTGATAATACCCACCCAACAAACTACCCCCACCCCCCCCGACCCTTCCCCCGCGCGCGCGGGGGTTCAAGCCAAGTAAACGTTAAAACTAGTTAAGTCATCTAAATGCTGAGCTTTTAACCTAAAAAAAAAAAGGCAAAATAGGAAGCAATGCTAAACAATAGCTAAACGTCCACATTTCAGGACAAGTTCTCATACAAGCAACAATAATAATAAAAACACTTAAAACAAATAAATTAATCAACAATTTAGGAACTTACTAAAGGCCGTAGATCCACAAGAACCAGATGGTTATCACTTCCACCAGAAACTAGTTTATACCCAAGTTCAGTCAATCGGCTTGCAAGAGCCCTACAATTAGAGACCACCTACAAGGTAGAGTATCCAGACTTAGGACATGATTTGGACCAGTTTTACACTGAGGACAGCATAATTGCAGTACCTTATTCTGGTAAGCCTTAAATTCTGGGGACTGTGCATACTTCAAGCAAACTGCAAGGCCCCCAATAGTGTGGTTATGGGGACCACCCTGCATAAATAACTCAAGCATTTATCCTTTTTTACATTGAAATTCGAAATATAAATGCTGAACTTATAGAAACAAATAAATGATCAGGTATAAATCAGATTTCTTATCATGAAACAAGTACAACTAACCTGTAAACCTGGAAAAACAGCATTGTTGATGGCAGATTCTAGATCAACCCCAAGAACCGGATCTTTCTTGAAGAAGATCATTCCACCTCTTGGGCCTCTCAAAGACTGAAGAGAAATGTATTAAATTTTTCAGATCATCCAAATACAGATTACAACAAAGGAAGCACATGATAAGGCTATTTATGAAGTATACGCAATTATGTGAACATTTGGGATTTGAAAAAATTTAGTGAAATATAAATACATGAGGTTGAACAATACCTTGTGTGTTGTAGTGGTCA